ATGATCGCAGCTATTTGATGCTGAAAATTCGTGATGATTTCAGTTAACTGCTCCGGGGAACACTTCGTATTAAAGTTTTTGGGATGTTTTGTGATACTATTGTTTATCACGTCGTGTTTATCACGTCGTGTTTATCACGTGTTTATCACTGTCCTTTTTCGTTTGCGAGAAATTCGAATTAAATCAATTTAACTTTTTTCTTGTCACTTGTATGGCGCCATTTCAAACGTTTCAGCTTTTTTGTCCAATAGTAGATTTGAATAAGTGTTGGATGATTGCCTTTTTCCTGAAACTTTATCGCATAGCAAACTCCCATTTTTTAAGTTTTGATTCATAGGTTAACAGTCACCAAGTTTTGATATTTGAGTTTAAAATTTTGATTCATGCGTTAACAGTCACCAATTAGATTTGTAAACAGTTGATTGACTTTGTAATTAGATGGGGAAAGTCGCAGTAAAAATGAAATCAAGTTCCAACATCAGTTCTTGGAATTCACACATCAATTCATCGAATGAACAAACAGGTTTCAAATCTTCTTATATCATTTTTCATCGGCTGCTCTTTCAAGGCTTTTTTTCCACTTGCTCTTGTTTTATTTTCTAATCATGTTTTATATCAATTCGCTTGCACTGGCAGCCAACCCGAGTCGGAGTGCTCGGTTTATGATTCGATGTTGAAAGTCGAGCAAGTGCCGTTTTGTGACTGAAATTCCGCGGTCCAGAAGCAAACTCAGGTCGAGCACAAATCCGAAACATTCCCAATTTCGGTCGAGAGAGATGAAACAAACCTAATTTGCAAAAACTCAATTGCTGGCAATAATTTGTTGCATTTCAAATTAATCTGGAATGCTGACCTGTTCAGTCAAATTTACATTTCAATTCCTGTTGCTTATCTTCAATACTGACAAAACGTTCCGTTCTATCAAGTGCGTATAATACAAGCTCAAATCTCTCTAATGAATAATACTTCATTTGAACTTCCAATCTAAAAATTCAAATATATACAGGATACATCGTACAATTCTCTCCCCCCCCCCCTTCCAAGTTACTTAGAGCGATTCAGAAATTGACTTAAGCAAAAGAAATTGATTCAAATGAGTAAAAAACACTCGATACCAAATTATGATAAGTTAATTACGCTATCAACAGGATAAAAGAGCGCTACGATAGGTCCTTGTGGAAGAAATGGTACGGTGAATCCTTAATTTGTTTGAATTCTAATATGATTGGCTTCGAGTGCAAAAATTAGTTGTCATTATACTTAGAATTTTTGTTTAAGTATCTTTTTTCATTTAACTTTCTGAAAGTTTTCAAGATCGGTTAATAAAGTGGTTGTTTTTGGAACTCTAGTTTCTTATCTCAATTAAACTTAGTTTTTAAAAGACAATAAGGAAAATGATTATAAGGATATATAACTAAATAATCAGGTGAGGCAATAAAAAATAAAAATCTAAAATTTTTCCCGAGGCCATAGGCTCGATCCACTGTTTTAGCCACCGTGCTATCTCCGCTAGGAAAGTCTTGCTAGAAACGTTTTCAGTGCTTTAGTGGAAGATCCTTTGCGTTTGCGCTTTCCTTTGAGTTTATGTTATGTTTATCTCAATCGGTTACCTGGTCTATGGGTAGCGAAAGCCATTAGAATGCAGGGCTTTTAACGGTTTGAATCCTTCCCAATCCAATCTCTTTCTAACAAAACATAACGAAGTAAATGTGTATTTCTAAATTTTCGTGGCCTAAAACTTTCTAAATTTTTCTTTAAAAAATAAATCATAAAAAAATTTAAGGCTCTTTTTAGTGCTATAAATTCACCCATAAGTGATTAACTACACAAATCCCTTGAAACTAAATCAAGTAAAACTTGGTTTTAATTATTAATATGCTTAAACCAAAAATAGTTATTAATGTGTACAATGGTGTGTTAGGGAACGTGTTTAGTTTAGTTCTAAGAAGCTTAAACCAACAAACATGAGTTTTCAAAAATTTTGTAATTGATAAAAAGTGTAATTGACAACAATCTGTAATTTTGTCAAGAACGCTGTTGTAGCGCTCCAACTCACTGAGTGACAGGTACTGTTGGCACCGAAGTGCCAGAAAGGTCCAAGGCCGACAATGAACAGAACTCGCTGAATGACAAAATGGTAGGTAATGTTGGCACTGTATTGACAGACAAATCCAAGGCCATCATTGATTAGCAGTCGCTGAATGACAGGTACGCTTGCTGGATGAGAGTGGTTGAAACAATAAGTTAAAGAATCTTTGACCTTTTCAGGCATAATTTGGGTCTCAAGGTCCTCTGCAACATCGAGATTACATGCAAAATTTTGTCAAAATTCAAATATATGCAGGATCGTACAATTCTCTCCCCCCCCCCAAGTTACTTAGAGCGATTCAGAAATTGACTTAAGCAAAAGAAATTGATTCAAATGAGTAAAAAACACTCGATACTACTTGATAGCCTGCTGAAATATTACTTTCATTACACAAGTGAAGCTTTGTGTGATACTTCCAGATAAGTTTTTTCCGACCCAAGTCGCAAGTATTGGTGCTACTGTGGTGGTGGTATGTTTCAGCAGAAAGCTAATTTGGATTTTTAATAGCACGTGCTCTGATTTCTGATAAGTTGGTGCAACAACACAGTTGGTAAAACAGTTGCACTGTTTAAAAGCAGTTGTTGCATTTTGATTTGAGCAATTGACCTGAAGAAAGCTATAGCTTTCACGAAACAGTGCTTCAATTAAAACAGCCATCAGAAAGTTTCCAACTCAGACTTGATCGTAGCTTATAAAAATTATGGCTTTATGATTTCCATTTGTCCCAATTTATCCAACCCAGCCATCCGTTAATTAAGTGATCAATTATTTTAGCGATCATTCTATCCAACCAACTTATCATACAACCAGTCATCCATTCAATCAGCCATCAAATCAGTTATTCATTAATTGGTACATACATTTAGCAATCCTTCAACTCATCAATCTAGGCATCCGTAATTTCGTTTAACCATCCATCCAAGCCATTCTTTCATCAAGCGATCCATCAGGCCATCCATCCGTTCATATAGACATTCATTCGGACATTCATCTAGCCATACATGCAAGCATCTATCCATTCGATCATCCATCCATGCATTAGGCTATCCAGCCATCAATCCAACAAGCATTTCATTCATTAAATCATCTATCTAGCCATCATTTGTCTAGCCATTCATCCATTTAGCCATCCACCATCTACAGTCCATCCAACCACCAATCCAGCCAACCTTGCATCCATCTAACCATCCATTTATTAAATTAGCCGTCCATCACACTCTCCATTTACCCTGCTATCCATCAATCCAAGAAGTCATCCAACCAGCTATCCGCTCATCAAGCCAATTCCTTGTCCAAGCATCTATCCGTTAAGCAATCATCTGTCCGTTAAGCCATCATCCGTCTAGCCATGGATCCAAACAACCATCCATTCGTTTAGCAGTCTATCGATCAACGAATCCAACCATCCATCTAACTTGCCATCCTTCAACCCATGGATTCATCCAACCAGCTATCCGTCCCGCAAATCAACTAGATATCACTCAGATAACCCATCCTTATCCAATCATCTTTCTAACCAGCCATCTTATCAGCCCACCATCCATCTCGTAATATAGCGAGATGTAATATAGCCATCTTATCAGCCCACCATCCACCCACCCATTCTAGAATTCGTTTAACCAGCCATTCATCCATAAGTTCGTTCATCTAGCGATCCAGTCGTCTATCCAATCTATCATCCATCTAACCAGCCATTCATTCGATCATCTATCCAAGCAGCCGTCTCTGTGTTCAGCCATGACTTGAGCTATCCATCATTCCAACCAGCCATGGCTATCCATTAGTTCATCTTTTCGGCTAGCCATGCATCGAAAGATCCTCCCATCCATAGATCCTAATCATCTCTATACTCCCACGCATCCACCCAACCGGCCATCCGTCTATTTTTCTTCCATGGATCTAGCCATTCAGCTGTTGATCCCGCCTCACATCCAGTCAAAAGCCAGACTTTATCGAAATAGCCCTCCGCCCATCTTGCCATCGAGCTATCAACTCATTTTAGCCAGCTATCAATCAATCGGCAGTTCATCCACTCGTTCACTGAGTCATCCATCCAGCCAATCGATCTAGCCATCCATTCATTTATATATCCACCTTTCCCGCATCCATCAATCCATCCGTGCATCCTATTATTCATCTACGCAGTCATCCATCATAGATCTAGCCATCCATCCAAGAAGCCATCGATCAACCTGGCCATCCATTCCGTCCCGCTATCTACCAAACTGCCAGCCATCTATCTAGCTATCCAGCCAGCCATCAATCCATCTATCCATCCACCCGTGCTGTTTTCAATTCAACTATCCATTCAACCCTTTATCCGTCATGCCATCCATACATACAGCCAGTCATCTTTCGGTTCATCCATCACTCCAAGCATCCTTACAGCGAGCTATCTAGACAGCCATCCATGCGACCATCCTTCAGACCCGACTGGCGCAGGGTAGCAAGAAACAGGGTAAACGAGCTGCCACAGGGTATGGATCCAAGAGAAGCGACCCTGAGAGGAAAAGATGCAAAGAACGAAGAAAGGTACCAGACGGAAACACCACCAAACTCAACCCACCGACAAGCTTGCAACGGAGAACATCTACCACGCTCAGTAAACAGAACGCGCGCAGAAGAGACGTTTCTGTACAGACTGAGAGTAAACAGAGAAACATCACTCAAGGACGCCAAGTACAGATTCCGGCTATCACAGAATCCTATATGCGAGCACTGCGATGAGGAAGAACCAGAAACAACGGAACACTACCTACTGAAGTGCACAAATTAGGACCGGGCCAGAAAACAGCACCTGGGAAGAAACCCAACCTTGACGCTTCTGCAGACCAACCCCATTAACATCATCTTATTCGCAACAAGCACTGGACATTTCAAGTCCCCCGATTATCAAGAGGGCTCCTAAACACACACACACACACCATCCAGTTATCCATCCATCTATCCTGCGTTAATTCCATACATTCATCCAGCAATCTCTGCAACCAACTAACAATCCATCCATGCAACTTTTTTTCTGTTATAGATAAAGCCATAGTTATATATTATTCAGATTTAGCTGCAGTAGGCATGCTTGATAAATTATATGTATGTTTTCGTTTCTAGATAAAAAACTTGGGTTTTTGCGAACCAGTTCAAGTTTTCAAAAACAATTTGAATTTTAGCAAAGTTTCATCGCTTGATAGTTAGTAGCTAGTACCACTCAACGAAAGCTTAGAAGAAGCTCTCCATTTCCAAATGCCGCGTTTGAAGTTTTAACGCTGAATAGCTCATTGTTTTGAGCCGTGTAAAAAAGTTCGACTGCTAAAAGGCGCAGTCGCAATTTGGCTGCTCCTTTGCCTATTATTACTATTTACTTCTTATAAGAACCACGATGTTTTTTCGGTCCTGTAGATGTTCTTAAATAATGATAGTTGACAAACTGACCAAAGCAGTTCTGTCAGACATTGTTAATGCATTACGCAGTGGAGGAGTGATAGCAGTTCCGACAGATACGATATACGGAGTGGCGTGTCTCGCCCAGTCTGCAGAGGGAATCAGCAAAATCTATTCTATCAAATGCAGAGATAACTCGAAACCGTTGGCCATTTTGGTGCCATCTGTGCAAAGTATTGAAAAAGTTGCAGTTGTAAATGACGATACAACGATGAGTATTCTGCGAAAATTGTTGCCTGGCCCTGTGACAGCTGTTTTAAGAAGGCAGACCAGTTTAAATCCTGGGTTGAACCCAGAGATTTCTTCTATCGGGGTCAGGGTGATAGATACAGATACTTTGACTCAGTTAATGAGCGAGGTCGCCGAGCCCTTGGCTCTAACAAGTGCAAATGTCAGTGGGAAAAAGAGCTCTCTTTGCATCAGTGATTTCGAAGAAATTCATTCCAAGATTGATTTCATCATAGACGGGGGGAACCTGGAAACTCCACGAGACGGAAGTACTGTTATAGACTTGACAATACCAGGAACATATCACATTGTCCGAAAAGGACAACAATTTGAAAACACGTTGTCAGTATTGCATGATTTCGGCCTTGAGAGTGCCTAGATTGTGGTTGTTTTTGTACATATTGTAGAAAATTTACTTTCTATCTGTGTGATCAGTGAGAGCTTAATAAGTGAGCGTTTGACCAGCCGAATTTTTTCTTCAACCAACGCATTGGCTTGGGCCGATTTCTGCAAGTGTTACCAAAAACATATTTGACATTGCGATTTGACCGGGAATTCAATTTTGTTGGCAAATGTTTGTTGAAATTGATCCATTGTTTACCTTAGCGATAAGCAAGGGTATTACAATCGGGTACTAGAGTTTTTTCCGTAAACAACTTTGTCCACAGGACTCATTGTACTCCTGATGTACCTTGGTTCATAATGAATTCAAATTTTGTAGTGCCTCTTTTTGTGGTGGTAACGAATACGCTTGGGACAGCAAAGGTTATTGGTTCGGATCTGACCAGAACCAGTTTTTTCAAACGGTAAATATTCCGGTTCAAAAAGATATCGGCCTATTATTTGTCTGCTTATGTTTTGTCGGCTTAGTTCTCACATCTCAGAGTCGTTTATGTTAGCTGTAAACAATTTTCGCTGCAGTTGTTTTTAGCATTTTAAAAATCTGGCAGAATCGAAATTTGCTTTTCACGTTGGTTGTAAATATTAGCAGCTCGATTTGTTAAAATTGCTTTTTTTTTAAAATTTTTTGTCTTTTTAGCGGCTTTATCGTTATCGACTCAACTAAAATCGACTTAGTGGCCTCTTTTTGCGTCCTTACGATCGAAAAGTTTTTGTGCACGTATGTGTGCTCTGAGGGGATAAGGGACTTAATTTAGTTTTTTGAATTTTTTTTCGACATGAAGGGTTTCTTAGGTATTTTCGGCTTTGTTACTACTTGGTAATTATAAATTAAAATGCAACAAACGATCCGGCGCATTTGGCGTAGAGGTAAAACAACAGCTTGAGACGGTAAAGGGCGGTAGTTTGAATCCGACCGGGCACTTTTTGCAAACTACAGTTTTTGTGCTTTTTCGCATTATGGTCTGTCTTTTCGTCGGCTTGGATCCGTAGCTCGATGGTCCCGTAGCTCGATAGTCCCGTAGCTCGATGGTTCAGCTTCATTCAAAGTTGCTGTAACCCCCCATGCTTGAGACGTCAAAGCACGGTAGTTCGATTCCAGTTGAGACCTGTTACTTTATTTTGCAAATAGAAAATTTTTGCTAATTTAGATTATTTTCTGTCCGCTTTTTTGTCTGCTTAGTTCCGCAGAAATTTTTTTTAAAACTTGCCTTCTTATAGCATTCCCAAAGCTCTTTGTAGAATTTTCAAAGCTGCACGTAATTTTGTTTTGAATTTTGTTCATTTTTTTCGTTTGATTTTACTTATAGTCATTCTATTTTATATCGCTAGTGGCGCGAAGCTCAACTTCGCCTCTGTGTTACTTTTGTAACAAGAGGAGGTACATTTTTCTCGGTTGGCATTCGTAAAATAACGCGGATCCCGACGTAAAATAAAGCGAATTGAAGCTAAAATCAAACTATTCGTAATCTAGTTACCCTTACGATTAGCAAGCGTTATCAAACCGGAATGTAGAATTTTTGCGGTTCAATAACTATATTAACAGAATCACTTGACTCATTTTAACTTTGGTTCATATGAAATTAAACATCAGGCGTTAATTTGCGCATGTGGCGAAAAGGTAACGCACCTGCCTATAAATACTAAGGTCAATGGTTCGAATCCAGTCAGAACATGTTTTTTTTATGCGAGCGGAAAATTGTCCGCGATTCAAAAAATCTTCATTTGTCTGCTTTTTATTTCGGTTTAGTTACCGCAGCACAAAATTCGCGGTATTAAAAAGCATTTCAGTGTATTCCGGGTTTGGACCAGTAAGACTTCCGATTACTTTTGCCTACTTCATTTATTTAAAAATTTTTCATGCTGTTCATTAAAAAATTTTGATAGTTGTCTTTTTTTTTATAAATTCAAGGAGAGTTCTGTGCATTTAGTGCTTGAGACGACAAATCCCAGAAGTTCGATTTCTGTCGGGACCTGTTTTTTTTTCGAAACTGAAAGTTTTCGATTATTCTAGACTTTCGTGCCTGTTACTTTTTGGTAATCATAGTCATACATTTTTGTGACGCAAGTGATGATAAGGACGACTGATGTACAATTAAAACATTTTTCTGAAAGCAAGTGGATAGATCAAAGAAATCAAGAAGCTGTTTGTTTTTAGATTAGTTCAGATATGGCTCTAAAAAGAGACATGAAAAGGGATCACGACGATGAGGAAATAGATTGGAAACGACAGAGAAGTAGTGCCTTCAACAACTATTTCACGCCTTACCCCGAAGTCTCCGATGATGCTATCCCTGCGCTGAACAACTTCAACCATCACTACACATCATCAGACAATGCAATACCAATACCGATGACGTCTCATGGTTCATTGGTGTCACCAGGGTTTCCACACAGTTCAGCGATGCCTGAAACTTCTCATAATCAGGCCAACAATCAATACAGCTCCTTCGCCCAAAGTTTGATGAGCAAAATGGGTTACCAAGAGGGCAAGGGTTTAGGAAGGGACAAGCAGGGGATATCTGCACCTATTGAAGCAGAAGTGCAGATTGACAAGAAGGGTCTGGGGTTCAATCGTGGAGAGTTGAAAACCAACTTCGGAGCATCGTTTGAAGAGGAGGAGATTTACTGGGATAAAAAGGCTTGTAAAATGTAGTTCAGTTCAGAAAATTGCAAAGAATGGAAACTTGCTTGTCTTTTACTACGCTTACGATTAGTGTTTTGACTTCAGAAACAATCGCTCCATTATTCGTATCATCCGCACTTGCTTTTTGTCCCGAATTTCGAGGAAAGTGACGAAATATTTGCGCTCAGTGTGTTTATTTTTATACAAAGAAATCGATTTTGAAAGCCATTTGAAAAATACTGACTTCATGAGCTCAAATTATTAAGATATTTCACCTGTAATCTTTTTTCATTAAGTTGCATGGGTTGTGATAATTTTAAACATTTCAAGCTTCATTTTTTAAAATCAAATACCAATCTGGTCTTCGCCCTTTATTACGAGCAGTCTTGCATGTTCTACTTCGCCTTCCTTAAGTGCATATATTTAAGATACATTTCTGAACTCGTTTCTTATTTTTTGCAGCGTCAGCTTAATAATGATTAACTTGTCGCAGTTTTAGCCAAATCGTAGCAAAATAGCAATTGCTAAATTTTCATTCCGGGCAGTTTTTGTTCTTTTTTAATCATGCTACCGCGACCAAATTTTGATGACCGTCCCGACCGAAATGTGGCATGTGCATGCCATAAGCGCACGAATTGAAAACTGAACAAAAACAGGATTAAGAGTCGAGTTCCCAACTTAGACACTGCATAACCGCTTATTTTAAAACTTTAAATCTCATAAATATCTTTAAATTAAAAAGTACTTCTTCAAATTAAAAAGTACGAGCATAAAGACGGGGAAGTTGGCGCACAACAACGAAAACGAATCTACAATATTTTTTTGATTTCGTTAAATTATTTTGTGTCGTCCAAAGCAAAAAATGATTGAATATTTTGAAATCAGGTAGTTAATGTTGCAGGATTTCAAAGTTTTGAAACCTAAATGCTTAAAAATTTTTATGAGAACAATTTTTGTCATTTTTGTTTTCGGGTCAGTTGGCTTCTACCCACTTTTGTCGGCTTAGGTGCCGCTTGGTAAATACTAGAGCTTATGTGATTTTTGATTATTTTTCTGGAATTATTTTTTTCCCCAAAAGATATATTTTTTTTTATTGATTTGGTTATTTCCGTCTCATTTTCTATTCGCTAGCTTGCAATGTCGCGCTTGCAATGTTTCGCTTCGCCTCTGTGTGAAATAACATGGCATCATATTGCAGGTTGTATTTTTTTTGTTTTTGATTAAAATTGGAAAGTTAAATTTTCTGACTTGCTAAAGTTTTCAGTTTTTTTTTGGTTAATTGTTTCATCCACGCATTTAGAGTGGCTGAAGTTTTTTTAATTGTTAAACTGTTTTCTTCATTTTTTTTTCTCTAAGATCGGAAAATTACTACATGCATGCACAACAGCCGGATGTATTATTTCTTTGTTGTATTATTTCCCCAAATTTTACACGGCGGTTTTCTAGAGCGGAGCTTCTTGTGGCTTAAGGCTGTTTTCCCCCACCTTTACACTCGCGCGTTATCATTACTGCAGCTGAAATTGGTACGGCTGAGGTCTTGTTCATACTATCATTGCCACGGCAGGGGTTCGAATACACGATTTCAAAATGAACGCCTTGAGACAAAACTAAGTGCTTTTATTGGCTAAATTAAAATGCTCTATTGGGTGATATTTTGCCACTGTTCATTTGGGTTTGGAGCAGTATTAGAAGGAAATTTGGTTATCGAATGGTTTAATTTATCATAGGATGTCAAGTGAATGTAAAAAAAATATTAAAAAAAATAACCAAAAAAAATTACATGTAGTTCTTAAACGGGCACAACAGCGGTTCGCCGTGATGAGCTGTACAGCTCGTATGTTGGTCCTTTCCACCGTGGATAAATGGTCTTAAATGTTAGTGTTTTGAACCGTTTAATTGTAGGTCGAGTGGCTGACTACCTACGAAGGTGAGATGCCGAACGACGAAACCTTGAATGACTGGATGGACTTCGGAGACAAGAAAACGAGTTTGGACGATGAAGATCTCTTCACGGAGGGAGATCTGCTCCTGAAGATGCTGCAGCTGAAAACTCAGTTTGACTCTCTAGATGGGAAGCAACTGATGAAAGCGAGGAGTAGGGCAAATCCCTATGAGCAGCTGAAGTGTGCTATATTTCAGAACAGGGCGGCTCTGAAGATGGCCGATATGGATTACGCAACTGGGTTCATTTTTTCGGGTATTTTTGTCGCCATATTGAAAAATTCGTCTGAAATATTATACCTTGCATTTCGAAGGTTAAGGAGTATTAATTTATATTTGAGTCATTGCTCTGAAAAGAAAATTGCCATGAAGCATGAGTAGAATACCACATAAACCACGGCAGTTCAAGAATCAAGTTTTCTATTTATATTTTGACGGTTTTAATGATATTAACATCACAGCTTGTTTGAAATACTGGTTAGTAAGCAAAACATAATGTGATTATTAAACTTTAGATTTGTTTAGATCCAAAAACGTCTGCTGGAGAATCGAGGCTATCTGCAGACCAACCAGAACTGCTTCTGTTTGCCGATATTTGTGCGGGACCCGGAGGCTTCACAGAATATCTGACATGGAGACGCGGGTGGCGCTGCAAAGGCTGGGGACTGACGCTTAAGAGTCCAGAGAATGCCAGTGATTTTAGGCTGGACAAATTTCTGGCCGGGTCCTCGGAAAGCTTCGAGCCTTACTATGGCGTGGACGGAGCAAATGGTGATGGAGATATTCTGAAAACAGAAAATATTGATGCGTTCAGAACTTATGTGTTGGAGCATTCGCAACCGGAGGGTGGGTATACTTTTTGGATCTTTACAAGTTTGTCAAAGCCAAGTCTTAATGAAATAATTTTTTGAAAGAGGTTTTTTCTAATCAGCTCTTTGCGAATGTTCAAATTCATAATACGATTTTGATCAACCTAAAAATATCTGCACCTTCCTGTTTGTGAAACCGTTGATCCGCTGACTAAAAACGGAATTTTTGCGTTGAAGTAATCAATAAGACATATTGACAAACGTTTGTGTTTAGTTAATTGTTCATAACGTATTGTATCAATAAAAAACAGACGAAATAAACAGATAGACTTTGATCTGACTCTCATTCTCAGCAGAAGAGTTGGCTACTTTTGATAATAGTTGAATCTGTCCAGGTGGTGTTCATACCGTAATGGCCGACGGAGGATTTTCAGTGGAAGGCCAGGAAAACATCCAGGAGATCCTCAGCAAACACCTTATCATGTGTCAGATCCTGACTGCACTGAGCATCTTGTGCAAGGGAGGAAACTTCACCTGCAAGCTGTTCGACTGTTTCACTCTGTTCACTTCTGGTTTGGTGTACTTGTGTCACATGTGCTTCGAATCAGTTGGCATATATAAACCAATTACGAGTAGACCAGCTAATTCGGAGAGGTACCTGATGTGTAGAGGCTACAAGGGTCAGCAGGAGTGTGCCAGTATCATTTCACACCTGGAGAGCACCTCGGATAACCTCAGAAATTTGAATAAAAGTTAGTGCAACGTCATTTGAGTTCTGAACCTTCCTTCAAAATGAATTCCTTTCAAGCGTCAAACTCATCGCCAGCAAAGTTAAAAGCAGCAAAAGGCTTGCGAGAAAATTTACAGAAAGAGAACGCAAGTTTGATATTTGAAGAAGATAATGAACCGTTGAGACCGTCAATCAGTAAAAATGACCAACAACCCCAACTCAGGGTTTTGACACCTTGGCCACCCAAAGCTTTATGTTTGGTAATTTTTCATGATACCCATTTTGGCCTACAAAACCCAAATTTTTTCGAAAGGAGCCTTTGGTGCCAATATTTACTTATTTTTTTACTTTTTCGGCGCCTCATTCTTCGGTTAGTCTGAGTCAAAACGAAATAATCTGGGTGAGATTTGTAAATGAAACAATCTAGTTGATAGGGGAGCGATGTTGAAGTGGTAACGTCTCTGCCTCTCAATCGAAAGGTCGGATGTTCGAGGCTCTTCGATGATCAGTTCTCGTTGCTTGAGGATGAGTCAGCATTTCATGTCTCAGAAAAATAACCAAAAAAGTTGCAAGTAGTTTTTAAGCAGGGGCACAACAGTTGTTCTCCGTGAAGAGCTGAACAGCTCGAATGTTGGTCCGTTCTCTTGTGGATAAACCGTCTTGAAAAATATAGTAAAATATCTCTCCTCGTCCTAGAATTTGATAGCTGGATAGATGTGGAGCCTTAAATTATTAAGATTCATGAAGTTAGTGGTACTCTTATAAAGGTCTTCGTGATTTTTTTTGTTTTTCTTTTAGAAAAATTTTGTTTGCACTTAAATTTGGTTTTTCAAGGTTTCAATTTTGATTTCTTATGTTTAGTTCGTTTCTTTTATTAAATAGAAGACAAACTTTAATATTGAACAGTAAAAATGTAAGAACGTGATCGGCTTCTAGTTTCATAGTTGATTTTAATTTTACATTTGCGATAATCAGATATCGCAGCGGAATAAAAAATTTTACCAATTGATCGAGTTTTCTCGAATTGGGTTAATTTATCAAAAAAGGAGTGTCAAACAAATTCCTCTTGAAATTCGAAGAGCTCTAAGGCCGTTTTTCTTCCTTTTTTCCGTAATTTTGATATTCGAAAATTGAAATCTTTTAAAAAGCAAGCAAGTCAGTTTTTTTCCTGTTTCCTTGCGTTCATTGACTCTTTTTCAAGTGACTCTTGTCTTAATTTCTCATTTTGCTAGTGTCGATTTCTTTTGGTTTCCAATATGGTTTTCTTACTTTCTTTCGCAATAGTTTATGGGCCTTTGGCCAAGTGAGGTGAGTCTCAGCTTGGCCTCTGTGGCAGTTTTATTTAAAAAGAAAAATATTTTTTGCAAGAGTAGTTGTATGAATTTTTAGAATAATAAAAAATGTTTTGTTTGAGATTTTTTAATTGTTCGAAAAATGATTACTTGATGTTTATTTTGAAAAATAGTATTCATATTTCTCCTAAAATGACATACTAATACTTTTTATTCATGTTTTTCATTCCTTACGTTGATGTTCAGATTCAGACGATTTTCCACAACAAGACGTTTTGTCACTAGTTCCACACGATCAGATGTCATCCGAGTTCGTTGACTACCTAACTAAATCAAACAATGAAATCTTGGTTCAGCAGGTGGCAGCTCTGCGAAAAGTCATTCAGTTTGTCAAGAATCCAAATTTGGTCGAGTCCAGACAAGATGAAATTAGGGACAAATACTTGGAAAAGTGGAAAATTCCTAGAACGGGACGCAAAGAGAGTGCAAGAGTGGGCCCAGTGAAAAAGTTTCAGGAGCTCTGTTCGGGTCAAAACAACCCATTTTCTGGGTGTCCGAGCGAAGATGTTTGCGTTAAACTGACAAAAGATAACTTCAAGAGTTTTTTGGATTCGATCCACGAATTTCGGTTTTCCTTCGTGGGGTCATCGTTGGCGCGTGAGGTGTGGCTGAGTGAGGGTGGGTTTGTAGTGCATCGGTCGACAGATCTGGAACATTGGTCACGTGTAGAAGGACATTACAAAGTGGAACTGCCCAAAGATACAATAATAGAAGTGGAGAAGCTACAAGAACACCGCGTCGAGGTAAAATATTAGGCTTAAAATGGCCCATACACTTGTTTCGAGGTTATTTTTCTTAACATTCAATTTGATTAATCCGACAAATGAAAATGAGGAGGAACTTTGTATTCGGGTGAGTTTAAGTTTTTTTGTTTTTTTTTTCACGCAAAATCAGGTTCCACAAATAATCATCGGAATGGGTCGAATGATATATCATATTAAAGTATTTTCAGTCCTGATTCGAACGACATCAGAAATTTTTTCAAAATGTTGTCTTGGTGTTGAGGCAAAGCGGTTTGAAATATTAGATTTTTGGTCTTATTTTGAGCGAATACGTTTAACGAGCAGGCTTTTTCTATTGAACCAAAAGCTTTACCGCAAATATTTATCGCAATGGGTTGAGTGATTTGTCATATTAAAGCTCTGTCAGTCTTAATTCTAACGACCTTAGAATTTTTGCAATAAGTTTTCCCATTGTAAAGAAAAACTGGTTCGAAGTTTTAGAGTTTTATTCCCATTTCGATTGAGTAAAGCACGCGAACGGGCTAATTACAGAAACATGAGCCATGATTTTTTTCCGGTCAAATTATTTTTCGAAATTTTTAGCGCCATTTTAAGAATGAAACAATTACTGAAAAAAAAGTTTTTGTTTTTCTAGTTATTTTTTGACAAGAAATTTTGCCCGGTTTGCCTACGGTGACTGTCGAATATGCCTAAATCTTTTGCATTTTCTTAAATTATGGTCGGAACATAGTGTTCTGCTTGTATCGCAACCTACTATCCTTGTGTACTCTGGCGATCAGCTTAGTCTATTAAAGTGAATCTTCTTTTTTTTACCTAACTCGCAAATAAAAGTGTTCATTGAAAGTGAAAAGGGTTCATTTACCATTTATGTGGTGACACTTTTGCTATAATCATGATCTAATATGGGAAATTTCATGGCATCTGTTCTTTGCTTTCTTTGTGGCTAGTGTTTGTAATTTATTAAGCATGCGTGGCTCAGTGGTTAGTGCGTGAGAATCATATCTCCAGGTCGCAGATGGAATCCGAGACCTAGCCGAATTTTTACTAATTCGAGGCTTTTTCTACTTGTTCGTATTGCACTTTATGGAGCTGCTGTTTGTCGTGTTCTCGCTAGTGTTTGCGAAGCGAAGCTTAGCCTCTGTGTTTATTTAGCTTTTAGACAGCTAGCGTCTATAACAGATGTTTTTCAAACAGTTTTTTTTTATTACTATTGCCCTTGCGATAGCAACGGTACTGCAATTGGGTACTAGATTTTTTCTTTGTCTACAGGACTCATTGAACTGGTGGTACCTTGGTTCATAATGAATTCAAAATTTGTAGTGTGTCTTGCTGGCTTAGCCCAGTGGTAACGAATACGCCTGGTCCGGGGTCCGAATCTGACTAGGACCAGGTAATTGTTTCGGTTCAAAAACGAATACGCCTGGTCCGGGGTTCGAATCTGACTAGGACCAGGTAATTGTTTCGGTTCAAAAAAGTTTCGGCCTATTATTTGTCTGCTTCTGTTTTGTCGGCTTAAGTGCCACATCAAAGAATCGTTTAATTTAGATGTAAATTTTTTTAACTGCAGTTGTTTTAAGCATTTTAAAAATACGGCCGAATTGAAATTTGCTTTTGACAATGGTTGTAATTTAACCAGCTCGATTTGTTAAATTTATATTTTTTCGTCTTTTTTTATCGGCTTAATTCATTGCGGCCTAGTTAATATCAATTTTATGAGCTCTTATTGCGTCGTTACATCCGAAAAAAATTTTTGTGCGCGTGTGTGAGCTCTTACGGGAAAAGTGTGCTTTTTTTAAGTTTAGAATTTTTCCGAATTTTTTTCGGCATGAAGGGTTTCTGCTCGGATTTTTTCGGCTTTGTTACCACTTGGTAATTATAAATTCAAATCCAATCAACCATCCGGCGCATTTGGCGTAGAGGTAAAACAACTGCTTGAGACAGCAAAGATTTATCCGAATTTATTTAGTTTTGGTTCTAAAAAGTTAATTTGATTTGTTCCTCTTATTTGGAAATGAAACAATTAAACAATTGTGTATAAGTTCTATGACAACAATTTTAGGTGACTTTGGTCGTCTGCCCAAGTATTGTCCACCTAGTTACCGCTTGGCTAATTTTGCCTGAATTTTGTTTTAACGCTGCCGATTGTGTTTGACTTTGTTTTCTCGAATTGTATTTTGTTCGATACCAATATTTTTCCCGAATCTCATTGCAATCTAGTCGACAGAAATTGAGATGAGACGGAAGCCACTGCTTGTATTGTTCTGCACATGTTGAGAAGCTTTGGTTTGCTACTAAGTCTCTTATTTGTGCTATCATTAATTATTTTATTTGCTCAAGCCAGTTAGCGAGCATAGTAATGAGCTAAGAATCCACAATTTTCCCAAACCAACTAGCATAAATAAGTGGTCAGTTTTGGTTGCGTTTGTGCTGCATGCTTAGAACAGCAATTTAAAAGCTTGTGTTCCATCCATCCGGTTTATTGGTTGCTAGTGTTTACGCTCACGGCCAGCAAGTGTTATTACATCGGAGTATAATGTGAATCGGTTTTCTTTGATTTTGCTGATTATAAGAGTAATGAACGTAGTGATTACTCTTTTTTTTTGAAGTTGCTGTTTTTTTTTCAGAAGTTCTTGAAATTTGCTAACGTTAAAGTTTGCTTTCGTGGTTTGTTTTTTCAAGCTCAGTTCATTTCCTTTGTTAAAAGGATGGTAACTCCACTAACGAACAGTAAAAGTGCTAAGGTCACGAAAAACGTGATCGGCTTCTAGTTTTGATATTGGAGTTTGTTTTTCAGCTTTACCAGCGGAATAAAAAGTTCATGTATTTATCCACTTTTCTCAAATTGTTATCCAAAATTGTCAATCATAATTTGTTCTGGAGGCTCAAAGAGTTTTATGGCCATATATTTTCTCCTTGAAACTCGGAATTTGAAGTTTTTGGATTACAAGTTAGTATTTTTTGTTTCTTTCTGTAACTTACATGATTATTTGGTTTTAGTCTTTCTCATTGTTTACTTGCTGTTTTATTTTAGCTTTTCCATGGAGCTTTGTTGAGGTTTCGCCGCGTTCACTAAGCTGGATATTTCGTATTATGATTTTGTTGGTTCAGTGTGGTAAATGTTTTTTCAATGCAGTAATGCTGATAGAAATTAGTATTTGCTTTTTTTGAGCAAGCAGTTTTAAATTGAGAGTTTTTTTTAATTTCAGCAGCCGAATTCTAAAAGCGACAGACCCAGCAGCTGCAAAGCCATACACATCACAGATGTGGTTGCAGTAGGTGGACAAACGGTGCATATCAAACCCTATAAAGAACGTCTACACGTCGCAGAACAGTTAGTCCGAGCAGTTTCTAAACCCAGTCTACCTAACAGGTGCAAGCTACGAGTAAAAGATCTAATCAGATTGGAACACCTGGAGGATAAATTGAATTCTCTGCAGCGTCGGAAACTTACGGTGCCCTCGTCACGCACAGAACTGTGCGTTGATGTGCCTGATGGATACTTTTACCAATGTCACGGAATTCGCATTGTGCGAATCTTGAAGAGTACATACAACATGATCATATCGAAGTCGACAGGAAAGTTTTACTTTTTCGACAAGCGCACTGGCACTTCGCAATACGAGTGGCCGAGCTCAGCTTCGTCTTCATTTTGGGACTGTAAAGAGAATTGTGCGAAATGGGTTAAGGAACCAGGAGTTCAATTTAGTCTCGAAGAGATACACAGGGCTCCAGATTTGCTTTCCAGAACAGAATTACTAGAACATATACGACAATTGAAACATGAAAACAAAAACTCGCCCCCCAAAGCCACAAAAAACTGATAAAGTTATTTATAACTTATCAATACCGATTAGTAGAAATTGTCTGAGTTTTGGGAAGGGTTATAATTAAATGGACTCAGAAATACATGAATGCAACTACTTTGGCCTTGGAGGCGGTTTTTTGAAAACAGTCATGGCGCCGATAAATAATTAGCCAAGATATAACGTGAGTGATATTATCGTAAGTGTCATTTGAACCAACAAATGAGAATTTTTGAATGTCATTTAAACCATATTGTGTTATATAAACAGATAAGGCTGTGATTTAAATAATGAGTTTCTTCAAATCATAAGATAATAAAATCTTGAAGATTTTTTTCATTTTATGTTTATGAGATTTTCTTCAGAATAGCTTTTTTGTTGCATAAGTGTCTGTGTTTAGCTGGGTAAGCACAAAATTTTAGCAACAAAAATAGAAGCCCTGTTTCTGGTCGATCAATTTGCCGTCCCGAGTCGCCCTTCAGTCATCAGAACTTAAAAATCGGTTGGATATTTGAGCACTCCAACATTATCAGAACAGTACTTGCTGATTTTTTTTTCAGGAACAAGTCCTAAAATTTGTTCACGCTCAGTTTTGATTTTTCGCGGTTTGACTTTTAAAGTTCAGTGCATTTCCATTGTTAAGAGGAAGGCAAATTCCACTATCGGATTTTTTAAAGTTCAGTGCATTTCCATTGTTAAGAGGAAGGCAAACTCCACTATCGAACAGCAAAAGTGTAAAGGTGGAAATTAATTATCAGATTTCCCAGCGAAATAAAAGTTTTACCCTTTGATCCAGTTTTCTCAAATTGGGTTAATTTGAACAAAAAACTTTCCATTATAAATTGTTCTACTAATTCAAAGAGCTTCAATGCCATCTATTGTTTTCTTAGAAATTCAAAAGTTGAAGGCTCTTGAAAAAACAAGTCAGTTTTTTTCAGTTTCCTTTATTAAGTGTCAATAAACGTAGTGAAGACATTTGAACTGTACAAAGAAAGTAACGCAGCCAAGTATCGATTGAGTAAAATAAATTTGTTTCTTGCTGATTATGAGATTTTTCCAAAGCATTTGACTCTCTTGGTCATAATTTTCTTCAACAGAAACTTAAAATTTCGAATTTTTCTGAATCCAAAAGATACTCTTTCACCAGCAACCGGTAGCAGAAAACAACACTAAATCAGATTGGATTTTACTTCACCAAGGTGTCCCTCAGGGCACCGTATTAGGACCTCTGGTATTCAATCTCAATATTTGATTTACTTAAACAAGTAGTTTTTGAATTTGTCCAGAAATAATGCAGTACACAGTTGACACACTTTTTCTTGCGAAATTCATAACGCAGAGTAATATTTGGCCAATTTTAATCGTTCCACGAAGAAATTGAAACGATGTCGACACAAATACAAGAAATTATCAAGGATAGCCGGTTAATGCGCAAAAAGTACAACTTTCCGACCATACTCTTAAAGAATACAAAAAAAGGTTTGTGAAATTAGTATATACATTTTTTTCTGCATGGTGTGATAACAGGATCTGGAGGAAAAACTACAGCTTACGCCTATTCGACAGTCATAGTGAAATAGGTTATTTTGGGCAACAGTTTTTGTAGAAAAAAGGTTAGAAAAATAGACAAATCGTTTTAACCAGAGAAAAATTCAAAGTTATTGATTCTCAAAAGTTCGCTAAAAAATCCAAAAAGTAAATTTATTCAGATGTAATTAAAGTTTTGCGGCCTAAATTAAGCATAAAAAGGTTAGTTTAAGCCTGTTCGCCTTTATTCGCGCGAATTTAGACGAGAAGTCAAAACTTTCAATCTAGTTTTTCTCAACACGGAGAATTGTCTCGAATTCTTTAATCACGACTGAAAGGACGTAAGATATATTACTCGACCCGTTCCAATGATTTTTGTGGTACATCATTTTGCGTGACAAAAAAATAAAACACAGCCGAATAAAAAGTTTCAAGTGCTCGGAACATAAATTATACTTAGAGAGCTTAAGTGATCTGTCTATAGGAGGAAGCTCGTTAAGAAAGTCTAACTGTATGGAATATGGTTTAAGATGAAAAAAAGTTAACCTTTGTGATATAACCATTCTATCATTTTTCAACGAAGATCCATCAGTGGCAACCGATGGTAAATTGTCATGGAATATTACCTGCATTTGGCATATTTTTGATTTCCTGTCGATGTTGTATACATTAAATTTTTTCTTATTTCAAACCTAATTTCATTGAAACCTGTGCAACCGGGTACCAAGAATTTTTCGTGTGAATAACTTTGTTCGCAGGACTCACTGGGCTAATTTCCTGGACGTCTCTGCTAGCTGCAGATTCAACTGCAACAGACAATATTTTGTGCATGTTAGCTTTTCAAGTATGTACTATTAAAAGTTTGTTGATATTTTGTTTTTGTTTTTTTTTATTTTCCTTTTGTTCGGCTTAATAAATTTCGGCCTATGCTATATCGGCTTAGTGGCCTCATTTGCGTCGTTCGACGAGCGAAAAATGTTCAAGTGTGCATGTGTGTGTTCATGGTGAGTGGACTTTATTATCTTTTTTGAATTTTTTTCGGCTTGGAGGGTTTCTGCTACAATATTTTCGGTTTTTTTTCGCTTGGTAAGTTTTGCTCTGACGCAAATTTCACATTGTATTTTTTTGACGTGTTTTTGTTTCAAAACAAGCTTAATTTATTTGGGTAGATTGGTTTTTTTGACATTTTCGAGTTTTTTCGATCTTACGACTATATTCGTTATGTGATTTGTTAGTATTGTTGTTTAACTTGATTTTCTTGACGAATTGTTTTTTGGTTTTTGAAAGCGAGTTGTTTGCAATTATGTTATTGATACTTCTTAGTCAGATTTTGCATGCTAGCACTGACTGGAGTTCTTCGGTTCCATAACGGATTTTTTTTTCAGGTGCGTACTGATGGCTATGACTTTGAATGCTTGTTTATACTTGGTCTATTGTATTACTACCGTCAGTTGGGCCTACACTCAGCTTTCTGATGTAATCGAACTGCGAAAAAACTATTGCATAGTTGCTCTGCTCAATTCGGCGTCACAATCTGCCAAATCAAAATTTTTTGACTCTTTTATTTCGGAATTTGTTAACAATAGAACGAACCATGAGATTAAATTTATGCAGTTTGAACCGCCTTTCAAATGGAAAGATGGATCAGAATTGAGTTTAAATTGTCAGCCAAATGATAATTTGGAAAGTATATGCGGATCAGAAATCGTTGTGTTTGCAAAACACCCTGAGGACCAAACCTGTTTGCACCCTCCTCCTAGCGAGGAAATGATACGCTACGATGCAGTTGTTGAAACCAATCTTTTGAATTTCGATGATTTTGCCGAATTTGTTAATGAACATTGCGAGAGTTACTTTACCTCAGAGGGAAAATTAAACGAATTTGGAGTTGTGAGGTCGAGATTAGAAGACCACTTGCCATGGAGTTACGATGTAAAATTCGAAGATATTTTACACAGTAAGGTATTCTAAATCAAATTACTTTTTCGGTCGGTAAAATATATATGATTTTTGAGATTTTGATTAGATGTGGAATCAAGAAATATTTTTCTACTAATGCTCGAAAGTTTTAAATCAGATTTCTTTGAAGTTTTGATCAATTTTCGATTAGGCTTTAACGGATTGCAGTTTGTTAAACGTGGAATTTTTTGACTGTCCCAGTGTACTGATACAGTGATGGCTTTTAGATTGAAGCGCTTGTTTCAGGCTGATTTTCCAAAGTGCCCAGAAATCACTGGTCCAACATCAAGACAATTTCTGATTGACTACATATCAAAATCTAAACCCGTGATCATCAGAAACGCCGCTGGAGATTGGCCAGCTTTGAGCAAATGGAGCTTGAACTATCTTAAATCACTTGTTCCAAAAGACAGAAAAGTGCGCATAAAAGTTGCGCCTTTTGGTGAATTCGAAGGAGTTGAAAACATAACACTTTGGGAAGATTTCTCGTCGTTCGAAATTCCGAGTTTTATCAAGCGGCAATTAGCCTACGATGACTTAGTTGTGGTCAGACCAGCCGTGTTGAACATGAAATTCCACTCGTTTATTGATGCGCTGAAGTCGAAAGAATTCGGAAAACAAAACGCAAGTTTGTACCTCGAGTATTCTTCCGTCAAAGATCATCTGGAAGAAGTTGAGGGTGATTTTGGGGAGTTTGAGTTCATTTCGAGGTGGTTGAATTTGGATTCAACTAACATTTGGCTGTCAGACGGAAATACCCTCGGGAAGTTGCATTTCGATCCATTTGATAACATACTAGTTATGGTAAGTTGCAATTATTTTCCAAATCTTCTTGTCTAAAATCAATAGCTGACTTAGGTGCTTTAAAAGAACGTTAATTTTTATTGCAAAAATTTAACTTAAATCTAAGTTTTGCTTGTCTTTTAATGTTGGGCGTCACTGCTTGATGGACCTTCAAGGTATAGATGTTGAATTTTCAATTTAATGTTGATCAATGGAATTGGGTACAAAGGGTACTTGCAATAAAAAATCTAAGTTTATATTTTTTTCAAAAAAATTTCAAGATTTTTTGAAAGTATTTGAAATGTTATTTTTCAAAAAGTTTGCGGAAAAGAGATGAAATTTTTGAATTAAAGAAAATTCGTCATTACAGTACATGCGTTTAATAACATTTTACGACATTGGAATTAAATTTGATTTTTTTGCTTGTGAAGGTAGAAGGAGAAAAAGAGTTGACCTTGTTTGACCCCTTTCACAATGAGAAGCTGTACGAAGCACACATTCAGGAAGCGAACCTCAAGTTCGACCCACAGAGTAAGCTGTTCACGCGTCAGGGGCTGCAACACTCAACGTCTATTGTGATGTCGCCCGTGGATATCCAAAGACCAAATTTAGTGGCAAGTATTCCCAAACATCCTTCCATATCCAAATTAGAAATTGCAATTATCAAACCATTACTTTTTTCAGTCAAACAACCTATTGTCAGAAATGTGATAACTTTTCCTGGGTTTTATGTATTACGTGTGATCATAGATTTTCTTGTGGACAAGGGGCCATTAGTTAATTCTGTATGCAAACTAGGCTCGGTAGGGGGCGGTAGTATATGAACACAACACCGGTGAGTATTTGAGGTCCATATCTTCTGGAAATTAACTGCCCCGACATAGAGCCTTCATTTCTCCTTGGGCCAAAAATTTTTGCGATGCCTGCAGTTGATCTGCAGACAAGTTGTCCAATTCGAATTCCTTTTCGTCTCCTATTTCCTTGTCGTCCATTTGCTCGGCGTTTTGGTCTGGACAAGTGTCCTGCGTCTGTTAAGAAGTAAAATTCACGTCTTTCAAAAAAACGCGCATACTTGATCTTCTTGCAGCTGTACTGGTTACTTTGACCCAGCAGACGGCATGTCCAACACAGCTGCTATCGGCCCTTCTTCTTTAGTTTTAGAAAAAGCGAATTCCTGCAGTATTTTGGACTCAATCATTTGAATCATAAAATTCTTTAGATTAAATTCAGCAACGGACATTTTTGAGATGATAAATGAAACACGAATCCGATCAAAAACAGAACTTAGATTTGAACAGCAGTGAAGTTTTTTCAAGGTAGGAAACAACGTGATTTACATCGCCAGTTCATATACTTTCCTCCAAACAATAGAAAGAGAGATTGATCGATAATTGTTTTCATCTATTTTTGATCTTTCTTTATGTAGAGAAAAAACCTTTGCTTTGCAAATTTCTTTCGGATGCAAGCCTTAAATAAAAGAATGGTTAATATTAAAGCCTAGAAAGGGAGCCACTATCTTAGATGAAGTTTTTACTTTTACATTACTCATGTAATCATGGCCTGAAGAATGTTTGTTATCTAAAGCGTTAATAACATTCATAACCTCAAATGTGTTTACTTTTCTTAAGATACATTGAGATAAGAGGATAATCAAGAATCTGACGGGCAGCGTTTGGAATGCCATTATTGATGATTTTCCTTACGGTCGTAAAAAGTATGAAAGTTATTGGCTATATGGGCATCCGTAGGATTTTCACATACGTTCAGACAGGGTTGTAATGATGGGATTTTGCTCGATATGATAATTTTGCCAATGATAAAATCGAATAGTTTAGAAGTTTGCCTTGAGTCTCCGATACAATTGTTAAATTTATTACGAAAGAAGTTTTTTTATGGTCTAACTCCTTTTCGAAAGGAGTCTGTAAAACCTTGAATTAATTGAAAAAAGTTCTAGATTTTTTTGATTGAATTTATTGAAAAATAGTAATAATTCTGACTGGTTTTCCTTTTTCTGTGCTTTCCATTTTGCTTTTTTCTAAGATCTCTGAGTCTATTTGTACCAAACTGGCTTTGCTCTTAATGATTTTTCGTGCATTTAAAAGCAAAATCCTCAAGAATCATTACATATTACCTCTGAAGCAAATTGATCGCTTAGTCTGGCTCCTGTAAACGAAACAGTTCCAGCTAATGTGCATCAAACATGTTATCATGCTTAACTCAGAAATTTTACGTGCAAAGAAAAGATGTCTCGCGGTAAGGATTCTCATCGTCGCTCTGATCACTTCTCATATTCCATTCTAAACCGATAGAATAATGGTCGATTTTTTTCATAATTGTGTACTTTCGAAACAGACAAAATATTTTGATATAGGAAATGATCTAAACAAGCTTGCCTATTTTCTGTTACACGTGTTGCTTCGGTACTAGTGATCTCATAGCTGCTTGAGAATTTGCTGTTTTTTGTATTTTTGAACAAATAAGTTGGTTTGCATAGTATGAATTTCGAAATCGCCACAAAGAAAAAGTCAGCTTATGGACTTTTTTTCATCTAGAAATTGATCCAATTTTTTGACGTAAGACATTTTGTTTGCCTTGGAGTTTTTGTTTACCACACAAACAAAGACTATTTATTTTTTTGATAATTCGGCAAGTGTTGCTTCATCAAAGGGCATCACCATCTGATTCAGCATACACCAAGTATCTCTTGTGTGAATCATGAGACCCTCACCATGCGTGTTTTTATTTATGATGTAAAACTGATTATAGCCATTAACTAACCAGCTTTCTTTTTGTCATTTTCTGTTAGCCATGTTTCAGTTAGACTTGGAATATCAGGCGTAGACTCAAGACTTAGTATTAGTTCTGGCAATTGTTCGAAGTGTGGTTTCATTGATACTATAATCAAATGCGTAATAAACAATTTATAATTAATGGAAGGGTTTGAGACTCATTGAGATGCAGCAGTGAACGAGGGAATATTATCAACGAATACAACTTTCACATCATTTGTTATAACTGAGGTCCATTCCTCCATCATACAGATTTGAGATTTTGTAAATACTTGGGTCATTGTGATATATTTTGCTCATATTTCCCTTCTTGTCCATGCATTATTAATACGATAATATCTTTTTAGCATATCGACAAACATGGCTCGTGCTACGCTTATATCTTCATAGATTTTAACGTTTTTGAAGTTGTCCAATTTCCTTAGCTTTTTCTTATTTTGCACAATGTGCTCTTTTGCAACTTGTTTTCTTTAGTAATTTGTCCAGATGGTATTTTTTTGCGTTGAGAAGACAGTTTTTTTTTTTCAATTTAAAAATTAGATATTTTTTGAAAAACTTGAGGTATAAATTTGATGGTATAAAAATTCAGGTGGGGTCCATTCAGACTCCCAAACAAATTTTGGAGGGGTCAATGTTGTGGGGGTATGAGATCTATGAAGAAGTCGGTTTGTGTTGCGCGTAGGGGGGAGGGGGGTCTCGACAATTAAGTAGTGCAGAGTAGACTTATTCGTCAAATCATTGTAAGTTTCGATTTGATCTACAAGCTCATAAAAAGAGTTGATATAGCTATTCGTTGTTTCTTTTCACAAATGATTGCTTGGCCTGTGTTGAGTTTATCAGAATATGGGCTCGGGAATAGCTCCTTCCTCGTTAAATGTTGTTTCAATAGAAGTTTTTAAAACCTTTTTCTAAAGTTCTTCTTTTTTCTCAAAGTCATGTTTTTTATTTATTTTTGAATCCTCTTCAGAAATTTCCGAAGTTTGCAGATGCGCGTCCAGTGCAGTGCAGAATAAAAAAGGGAGATGCTTTGTTTATTCCTGCATTCTGGTGGCACGAGGTCCAAAGCTACCCTTCAGAACAGAACTTCAATTTGGCCATCAATTTCTGGTTAGTACTTGGGACGCGTGTTGTTAGTGTCAATGAACAAATTGAGGATACTTTTCAAGTCGTTTGTTTAGCCAAAAGTTCTAGTGTGCACCTTCATTTTTTTTAAGCGGTTTGAGTTTTCATTTCTTGTTAAAGTCATTTAAAGTTCAGTTGCTAAAGTGAAGGCACATTACAGTCTACAATAACATTGCAAATGGTGCGAAATGATTGACTTTAGATCTAAATACGGATTTCAATTTTAAGGTTTAACCGCGAATTCAAAGAGCTTTAAGGCATTATATGTTTTTATGTGAAATGGTTGCACTGATTGGTTTCCTTTTTGGTTTTCTTGTGTTCGTCGCCACTTTTCGTGCTGTCTGTTGGCTATGTTTCGAGAATCAGTGAAAGCTAGTCGAAAACTAGAACTAAATTTGAACTTGAAATCGCCAAAGCCAAAGCATTTTATCACCGAAAACTACCAGACGCTCGAAAATCTTTAGTTTATAACTATGTTTGATAAAGAGTTTCATTTTCATCTAAATAGAACTCGAACCCTTTTTCGGGGTGCGTACAGTAAACCGATGTGTCAGTAAATTACTAGATCAGTAAACCGAATTACGTAATACTTACATAAATTGCGCAATTAAAGATTTATAGAAAATATTTTTTTCTAAGATTTATAGAAATTATTTTTTTCTGAGCTAGAACAATAATTCAAAAACTATGACTACTATGAGGCTCATGTCACGAATTTTTATTTCGGTTTCCATTTCAATTTTTGTTTTGAAGGCAAAGTTTTTTATTTTGCGCAAATTTAAATTTTGATTTAATGTATTTACGTAATTAAATAATGCTTTGAATAATGGTTTACTATCGGATTTGCCCGTTTTGGGCTAACTGATACATCAATTTGCTGGCTTACTGCCACTTTTTTTGTAGGGCGCTTCTCTTCCAAGTTTTTAATCAATATTGTATGAGAGAGCTACAATATTAGACAACTTTTGGAATGTCACGCGACCGACTGATTGATGCTTTTGTTGTTTTTCCAGGTCATACCAATTTGTAAACGTACAATTAATGAGCCAATTTACTATTCAATTTATGAAACATCCGATGTGTCAAACATCCGCTATGTCAAATCTTCTAACATATATAATAATTATGTAATAATTTGACGTTAGAGTTTAACACACCTGAGATATTTCAATTAACCAATTTGAATTTAGCCGACTATTCATTAAATGTCGCCGGTGGGCACGCTACTGGCGCGTGGTCACCTTGCGCCAATAGCCAGCTCTACTTTTTGTATAGATGTCCTCTGATGGCGTGCTAGCAAGACGTTGGCACAAATGCGGCGGTCTGTATCAATTCAGTCAAGACATTTTTTTAGCGGACCGTAGAGTTTGGATCATAGCCCTACTTTTAGAAAATTGCTGTTTGCCCTCGTTAAGCTGTTTTTCGGATGCTTGCAACATGTTTAGGTTTTTTGGATGTTTGAGGTGCCCATTTTTGCACGGTACTCGTTTCAAAATACCAGGCTTGAAAAATGACAATTTATTATAATGGCCGTTCAACAAAAAGCAATGCTTTCTTTTGCCTAATTTCTATAACAGTTTTTGATCTTTTTTTACTATTTTTTGGTTATACATCGAACATTGTTGTGAAATGTAGGCATCATTTTCTTGCGCCTTAACCCAGAAAAAAAAGACTAATAAAACTACATTTATAGTGAAAATAAGTCGATAAACTACAAAGTCGTTTGTTTAGCCAAAAGTTCTAGTGTGCACCTTCATTTTTTTAAGCGGTTTGAGTTTTCATTTCTTGTTAAAGTCATTTAAAGTTCAGTTGCTAAAGTGAAGGCACATTACAGTCTACAATAACATTGCAAATGGTGCGAAATGATTGACTTTAGATCTAAATACGGATTTCAATTTTAAGGTTTAACCGCGAATTCAAAGAGCTTTAAGGCATTATATGTTTTTATGTGAAATGGTTGCACTGATTGGTTTCCTTTTTGGTTTTCTCTAGAGTTTAACACACCTGAGATATTTCAATTAACCAATTTGAATTTAGCCGACTATTCATTAAATGTCGCCGGTGGGCACGCTACTGGCGCGTGGTCACTTCGCGCCAATAGCCAGCTCTACTTTTTGTATAGATGTCCTCTGATGGCGTGCTAGCAAGACGTTGGCACAAATGCGGCGGTCTGTATCAATTCAGTCAAGACATTTTTTTAGCGGACCGTAGAGTTTGGATCATAGCCCTACTTTTAGAAAATTGCTGTTTGCCCTCGTTAAGCTGTTTTTCGGATGCTTGCAACATGTTTAGGTTTTTTGGATGTTTGAGGTGCCCATTTTTGCACGGTACTCGTTTCAAAATACCAGGCTTGAAAAATGACAATTTATTATAATGGCCGTTCAACAAAAAGCAATGCTTTCTTTTGCCTAATTTCTATAACAGTTTCTGATCGTTTTCTACTATTTTTTGGTTATACATCGAACATTGTTGTGAAATGTAGGCATCATTTTCTTGCGCCTTAACCCAGAAAAAAAAGACTAATAAAACTACATTTATAGTGAAAATAAGTCGATAAACTACAAAGTCGTTTGTTTAGCCAAAAGTTCTAGTGTGCACCTTCATTTTTTTAAGCGGTTTGAGTTTTCATTTCTTGTTAAAGTCATTTAAAGTTCAGTTGCTAAAGTGAAGGCACATTACAGTCTACAATAACATTGCAAATGGTGCGAAATGATTGACTTTAGATCTAAATACGGATTTCAATTTTAAGGTTTAACCGCGAATTCAAAGAGCTTTAAGGCATTATATGTTTTTATGTGAAATGGTTGCACTGATTGGTTTCCTTTTTGGTTTTCTCTAGAGTTTAACACACCTGAGATATTTCAATTAACCAATTTGAATTTAGCCGACTATTCATTAAATTTCGCCGGTGGGCACGCTACTGGCGCGTGGTCACTTCGCGCCAATAGCCAGCTCTACTTTTTGTATAGATGTCCTCTGATGGCGTGCTAGCAAGACGTTGGCACAAATGCGGCGGTCTGTATCAATTCAGTCAAGACATTTTTTTAGCGGACCGTAGAGTTTGGATCATAGCCCTACTTTTAGAAAATTGCTGTTTGCCCTCGTTAAGCTGTTTTTCGGATGCTTGCAACATGTTTAGGTTTTTTGGATGTTTGAGGTGCCCATTTTTGCACGGTACTCGTTTCAAAATACCAGGCTTGAAAAATGACAATTTATTATAATGGCCGTTCAACAAAAAGCAATGCTTTCTTTTGCCTAATTTCTATAACAGTTTCTGATCGTTTTCTACTATTTTTTGGTTATACATCGAACATTGTTGTGAAATGTAGGCATCATTTTCTTGCGCCTTAACCCAGAAAAAAAAGACTAATAAAACTACATTTATAGTGAAAATAAGTCGATAAACTACAAAATTCGATAAATTCAAAAAGCTTCCGATCTTTATTTTTCTGGGGATAATTGTAGCCGAAAACTTCTGTGTCCTACTTAGACATTAACCGCTCATTCTTTTTATTTAGTCGTCTCTTTTTTGCCCCTTAAATGGAAATACAAGTTAGCACCCTGTTGGGTTTTTCTTTGATCACTGAGCTCAATATGTTTTTACTGCTAGTTATTTTTTGAGGTTTTATATGCTGCTTAACTTTTAACTGTCCTGTGTTTAGGTATGAGCCTCTCTTTACCAAGACGTTTCCGTGTGCAGATTGCAAGTTGAACTTCAATCACAAGTATAGAAAATTACTGAAACAGTTTCACGTTTAACAATGAATAGAATGAAACAGAGAAGTCTTCCAAGAATGAATTTTCCTGCCAAAACTGTACAGAAAAGCTTGCTAATGAGATGTAGTTTTTATTAACGCGTTTCTGTAAAATTTAAAGATAATTCATAAAGTAACTTTCAACTTTTAGATTGAGAGAAACTGAACAAGACTTGAAATGGCATCCTTATAATTTCAAGCTTTTGTTTTAGTCATGAAAATGAGCTCAAAGGCTCTTCAATTTATTTTTTTCGGAATTAAAAAGGAAAGCTACTAGTTTCAGCGTGCAAAAAATACAGCTTACGATAATGGCTATCATAGTTGCGAGAATACTAATGATAATTCCAAATATGAGAGTCAGTGCATGCGCGTATGACCAGACATTGCTCTGTTTTACGTCAAACCTAGTCGAGTGTCTTTTTTCGATAAGACTGTCGATGAACTTTTCTAGTTTTTCTTCAGATCCGATTCGCAATTTATGGTAAACTTTCTTGACATTTGAAGCGTAGAAGTCGATGTTTTGAGCCATGTCGTGGACTGCTTTTGAGACAGAATCGCGAGTTGGAAATTTTCCGAGAGGGATGCTCATGTTAGCTCTGCGCATCATGTCTTCGATGTAGAATTGGTCGCGACCTGTTTGAAACATTATCAGTTCAACCCAGCATGTTCAAAGCAAAAAGTCGGTTATAATTTTATAATTTGATTACTTTGGAAATAATAATTTGACTTTTCGGTATGAATTTAGGCACGAGCGATGCTATATTTTCACAGGCGCTTTTGTTGTGGTTCCGAATACCTTCCTAGAGTTGGGAAGGAATTGTTGCCTAGGGTTAGTTTTTTTTTCACGCTAAATCAGGACCACGCGGGTGCAAGTGTGATAAAGAGGTCCCTGTAAAAACCAAGCGTGACTGAGGGGTCCCGCTACACTAATTCTCAGCAAATGCAGCTATTAAATAGTTCAGTGGATTAGTTGGTCATTTTGAAGTCTTTTTCTTAAACGTAATTGTTTCTGCCTCATTTGGGCTAGTGTATTCGATGCTTTGATTGACATCAACGAAGCAATAAAACTTTGAGACCCTATTAACATAGAGGACCTCGTGAGTTTCTTGGGGACACTCTTTCACATTTGTACCCAGGACCACTAATAAATGATAAATTATCTTGTATAGAATTTTGACCAGTTGATCAAGTTTTCTCAAATTGGGTTAGTTTCATCAAAAAAGTTTCAGTCATAAATTGTTATTAAACCTTAAAGGGCCTTAAAGCCATGGTTTTTCTTTGAAATTCAAAAAATTTATACCATTTTAATGAAAAAGTTTTGAAATGCTCTAATAACTACAGAAATGCATACTTAATAATGTTTTTATGAAAACACTTGTCCATGTATGCAAATTTTTGAGTATAACTCAATTCATTTGCTAAAAATGAGATATAATTGTGCCTTCCAAATACGAAAGCGTTCATGAAGTGAAAAAACGCGAAGACTTACAGTGTCGAAAGTGGTTTCAATTTTTAAGATTCATGAACGTAGTATATACTTTCATAAAAAGAAAAGTTTTTGTTCAAATTTGATTTTCGCGGTATTACTTCTGATTTTTCAGTTTCAGTTAATTTTTTTTGATAAGAGGAGGGCAGACTCCCCAATCGGGCAGCCAAATTGTAAAGGTCACGAAAAACTTGACCGACAGCTTCGGAAGTGGAATTAAATTTGCAGATTTCCCAGCGGAAAAAAGTTCACCGATTGTTCCAGGTGTCTTAAATTGGGATAATTTTATCACATAAAGTATCAATCTTAAATTAATCTTGAAGTTCAAAGAGCGTTAACCTGATATATATTTCAAAAAAGAGCTGATGAGGGCAGTGAAGACTCCTATTTAGTTCGTGATGATTTTTTTTCTCAGCAAAAGTCGAAAGTCAAGTCAATTTTTTGTTCAATAACTCTTTTTCAACTGTCTATTGGCCATGTTCTTCAAAAATTGAAAAAAAAATCAATCATTTTTTTTTTCAGTTTTCATAGTTCTTATACACCTTTCCTACATTGTTGGCTATGTTTAGTGACTAGTGTTTGGTTTCATTAATAGCGCAGGTCTGTGCGGCAAGCGGATATAGAACTTGGGTGTCCGGGACAGGTCATTTGAAAAATCACTCATCAATTTTTATTTTCTTGCTTTTTTTCACATTTTGACCCTTTTCAAAGCCTTTTCTTGGCTTTTTTGTTTGTGTTTGCGAAGCTAAGCTTCGCCTCTGTGTAAAATATCTTATAAAGTGCTGATTAAATTATCCGGACACAACGCATAAAACTTGAAACTTAAAATGCTTTTTTCACAATTGGGGTTAACGTTAGACAAAACTTGCTTAGAATTTTTACAAAATTATTATGGTGCAATTTTTTTTGCGAAATTCGGTCCCCAAACTGTTAGTCCAAAACCGATGGCTTTTGGCTTTATTTTGTCAATGAAAAGTTACGCCGAAACTAACGGATCAATTGCTGACAAAAATATATCAAAGTGAGCCTCTTATGTAGCCTAACAATTTCAAGACGGGTATGATTGCCAAGAGTTTATATATAATTTTTGTTGTTGTTAAACAGTCAAAAAGCGTTTTTTGTTACTAAATTTGTTTTGAACAATTTTATGGAGATCTTATCCTCTCAAGTTGTTGGGCTCCATCTGAGGCTCTCTTTGATATAATTTTGTCAGCAATTGATCCCGTAGTTTCAGCGTAATTTTTGCTAGACTTAGAAAGCCAAAACCGATTGGTTTCGGTTTCGGGATAAGCTTTTGGGCCCGATATTTCAGAAAACAATTTCAACCATATTAATTCTGCTAAAATTCTAAGCAAATTTTGTCTTCATCATTTTTTGCCTAAAATCAACCCGATTTGAGAAGAACGCGTTTTAAATTTACAGCCTTTTGTCCTGATAATTTAAATCAGTACTGTATCGAAGTGATGCACAAAAATTAGCTGTAAGTTTTTTTGGTTGCTCTGGTGCAACTAGTACCTTGTGGTGAGGTGATGAATGCGACTCCTGCAGTGACCCCTTCGGTTGTTGAACTCATTCCGCAGTGGGTGAAGAAGACTTTGCTGAAAATAACAAGATTAAAGAACTCGTTTATCAAGTTATGCTTTGAAGTGCATTGATCTTGATTTGATGGAAACATAGTTAGAATAAATTTTGGAAAAAAAACGTTTGCAAGCTTGAAGGCACTTATGCAACACCTATTTTTTTAAATAGGTTTTTTTTCAGATTTTGTTTGTGTGATTTTCAACAGACTGTTTTAGGAGTGTTTGTTAATAAATTTAAACAGACTTAATTTTAGGAGTGTTTGTTGTGCTAAGGGCTAACTAGAAGGGACCTAAGACTTTGAAGAGCGATGAGGATTTGAGATTGAACTACATACACTTTCTCGTCGTTCAGGATATGCCTCTGAGGCATATGTTTTTTGATAATCATCTGCTTCTCGTTCTTCACGGGTAATTTACCCTCGTCATAAAACTTGTGTGACCACATCACATTGAACATGTCTTGATTCTCCAAAGCTTCTTTGACTTCTCGGAACCGCGAATCCGAGTAGGCGAAGAAGGTTCCCAGTGCTACATATAGAATTGGCCTCTGGGATTCTTCGAGGAACTTTCGGATGTCGGTGGGGACTTCGGACGTGTCAGTAGGCAAAGGCAGGATCCCAGTGACCATTAAGTTAGGAGGATGGTCACTCATTTGAGTCATTGGTTGGCCTAATTAGCAACAGGTTCTATTAAAGATTCCTAACTCAAGTTCCAATGCCCTTGAACTGTGTCATATGTATTTAGTATATAAATTCAGAACTCCGTTGATGATACATGATTGACTTGTAAAAATAATTATAACGGGCTTAACTATGGCACTGCTGAAATTTGAAGCAAAAGACGAAAAATAAATGCAATAATTTTGGAATTTGAATTTATTGAAATGCGTTCAGTGCACTGCTCATTAGAAAAGACTAAAATTTCATTGAATAGGCATCAAAAATTTAAAAGGTTTTTGGTTAAAAAATTGCTTTTGACAATGATGAAAGAGACTGACCGCCTAAGGATATGCTGGGATATGAATTGATGGCGTGTTCGAAATTGTCGAACATCTCTAGACCCAGTCCCTCTCTGATTTGCCGCAACTGATCGATCGCTTGTTCCCCGAAGATGTTAATGTACGAGATGTAGATGCTGTGGAACAAATACGTGTGTAGTTTGAAATACCAGTCGGGTCTGCTTTCCTTCGGAACGTAGTCCATCGTTAGACCTAAATCGACAATTTGAGGAAAATCAAATCACAAGAAAATCAAAATCAAATCATTTTTTTTTCGCCTCAGCTGCAGGGCAATTTTTGTACAATAGATGCTTTTAATTTTTTTCTAACTTGTACGGGAACCGTCGTAACAAATTGAAGTTTTTCTCATTTTTGGAGTAGTTTGGGGTCTTTAGTGTTGTTTTTCTTGTTCGGTAATTTTCGCATGTAATAAACTTGTCCATCGTTTAGTTTTCAAAGAATCTTGAATCTTGGCAGGATGAATTATAACTACTGACCTATGGTTAAGTTGTGTCCAGATTTCCACGTGGCGATGTGAGGAAGAGCCGGTGTCCAAATGTAGGCAAAGGGGACGTCGTGATTTTCAGCTGCAGTCGCCGCTCCCACCCCGAAGCACTCTGCCAGCACCAGGTCTGGTCTGTCGTGCCGAATCAGCGAGTCCATAGAGTTGTAAGAGTATAGAATAGATGCTGAAATGATTCCAAGTATCAGGGTCATCTCTGAGCTTCATTGTGAAGCCAATCAGCCGCCTTAATTTTGTTATTGATCCGACCACCAAGTACGCAACAATTTTTTTATTCGGGGGTTTTGTACTATTTTTAGTAAGTTATGCTCAAATTCATCAAAATGACAGATGTGGTATGTGAACAAAAAATGACCATCAAAGCTAACAAGTGGTGAGGTTGTTGAAGAAGTGGAAGCCGTTGTGGCTGGTCTTGGGACTGGGGTAGTACCACACGCCAGTGTCGAAGAAGTCAGCCCCCAATTCACTAGCCACTTCCTTGCACTGACTGCCCACTACATACGTCACTCGGTACTTCTCACGTACTAGATACAAAAAAAAATAAAAAATTAATCAGATTGTTCAATAAGATGATCTCTTGATTTTCAAAAAACTTCGACATCGTGATTTTTAATAAACCTTGAAATCCGATATATCTTAGTAAAGATATGTTTTTTAAATTTCAGCAGCCAGAAACAATTTGAGCGTAATTAAGCTTTGGCTTATCTAAAAGAGTGCACTTTGCAAACCGCAGCGCACGTATGATAGGAACCATCTGTTATATTACTGCTTGTGAATTCCAAGGATCATTATTGCTTGTGGACAAGGATCACTACCACTTTGTCACAAAACGATTTTAATAGAATCTTAAAAAAATGCAATAATTTTATGGTTACGTTGTGAGGTTTTCAGCCTACCTTTCTGCTCAACTATGGAAGGGATTTTGTTCAACAGGGTGTAGACTATCGGTTTGGTTGCGCTAATTCGAGAATCGCATGCTGAAAATATTGCCACGTGGAAAGGCTGTGTTCCGCTAGTCGTCTTCTTCGACTCATGTTTCTCACGAGTAGAACTTTTTCCCTTGGTTTCTGTAAATGGAATAAAAGTCAGAAAAATACAGAGAATGAATATTCGCAACTTCATAATGGTTGCAAGTTGGCACTCAAAGTCCAAATTGACGCTTTTCTAAATTTAAACTCAATAGTAAAATGAGATTATTTTGTCAGATGTGACAAATCGGCTATCTAGTTTAGATGATATTTTATAGATTACAGGTTGATGAAACGTATTAATCTTCTCGATCTGTTTGTAAAAGTAGTCATGACTTTCATTTAGCAAATCGATTTTGAAGGATATGGCACAGTTCATAGTAGTCATGTAAGTATCAAATCTGCTCTGGAGCCAAAGATTTCATCTTAGGTTTTTGACCTTCGATCGGTGTGCGTTTTCCGTTTAATTAGCTAACGAACTATTTTCAATGCAGAAAGTTTGCAGTTTGCCTTAAACTACCAAGTTATTCTTATTTTAATGTTCAAGCCAATTAAATGTTCAGATATTGGCATAAATGTAATGAGAATTGATCAGATATTACCGGGACTCTGATAGCTTTGAACCTCCTCCAATGACAACACATTTTTTTTGAAAAGTTTTGTTAATTATCGATTCCCGCGAAATATGTAACGCAGAATCCTAATTTCATCTAACCTTCTTTTTTGGATTCTGCGACAATAAGGACATATGTACTTAGAGGTTCTTTTTCTGATGTTTGTTACCCTGACACCCGAAGCTGGACCTACTTAAAATCATTTATTTAATTGCGTTTGCGATAAGCAAGGGTATTTCAATCGGGTATTGGACTTTTTTTTTTCCTGTTAACAGCTTTCTCCACAGGATCTTCACTTTTAGAGCTTCACTTCCAGAGGATCTTTCATCTCACTTGCTCAATTTGTTAAAAATTCAAATCAAACTATTATCACTTAGCTAGTACTTAATTCAAGCCCGTTTCAGGTAATAATTATCTTTTCAATAATATTTTCAATGTTTTTTTCGGGTTCTTGGTTTTTGTCCTAGTTTCTGTCGGTCATTTTCCTTCTTTTAAATACAATTTTTTTCTGGTAGGGTTTTTATTGGTCTACTTTTTAAAACAGAGGTTTTGTTCCAATTTAAACAGTTTTACTATAACTGAAACTTAAATTTGTAAATTTACCATGTCTGATTTGAGTTTTATTTTCATTTCGTTTTTTTTTAATTGTTTAAATAGTTTCAGTCTATTTATATCGACTAAGTCACATTATTTTGCGTAATTACGAATACAAAATATATCCGTTTGGGAGTATGCGTTTCAGATTGGATTGGTCGTAAAAAATTTTAAATTTAATGAAATTTCTTATGACAACAGTTTCGATTTCGGCTCAACAGGTTTCAACCCAAAGTTTGTCGCATTTGTTGCCGCTCGGTAAATGATTTTTAAGTGCTGTTTATGAACTTCATCTGATACAAATTTGAAGTTTTTGTGGCTCTAATTTTTCAGTTTTTGTCAAATTATTTTTCAAGTAATTTTTTCCAACTTCATTCTTTATTTTTAATTTTTTTTCTATTTTGTAGCTTCGCCTCTGCATCAAAGCTTACAGTTGTTCCGACTTTAGAAGAGGAAGAAAATGTATGTTTGAACTGATTGTATATTCAGATTACTTTCATAATCAAAGTTATAGAGCAGTGATCAAGCCTGGAATGAACGTGTTTTCAAGCGTGTTTTCCAAGCACTATTTTAAACGTGCTTGGAGCTCGCAAACTTTATAGATGAAAATTTTTTATACCACCGTGGAAGCGTATTATTATCCCGCAGTCGAAACTGTTCCAATGAAATCAGGCAATTTAATTAGCGATATTATATTACTTTCCCTACTTTCGAACAAAGTGGTTTTCTGGTGGTTTGTTTTCTGGCTAAATTCGACTTTCTAAGTAGCCATCTTTGTCGATTATAACATCTGAAAGCTTTTGAAGTCCAAAATTGAGAAGTAACATAAATCACTTGAGACTTATAAATCTCTGTAATTCAAATTGAGATTTTTATTGCGCCATTTTTTTGCCCCATTACGGTGTGGGCGCCAAATTAAATCATTCCAAATTGACGAGGTGAGCTATTTGCTCATTTTTACGTTATCAGATGCAAGACATATCATTTTGTTTTACTTTATATGGCTTTTTGCTGATATAACCTAAAAACCAAAATGCAGAAGAAGTTGAAAATATTTTGCTTCACTCTCTGTAGCAAATAGTTTGGTTTCATGCAGAGAAATTGCAGATTTATGAACCAGGACGCCATCTTGATTGATAGATAGTACGTTGGCTTTATAGAGTTTGAAAAGATGTGATTTTGGGCTCTTTTCCACTTCCCCCCAGCTTTCAAAATATCGAGTTTTTTTGTTTGTTTTTTGTGTTATTACGGCTAAATGCGTGAAGTTACGATGTAAAGTATGAAGAACAAATCTGTTCACAGTTGTTGATTTGTTCACCACGCCAAATTTCATTACATTATGACAATGTTAATTAAATAAGGTTTTCAAAATTGAATTTGAAGGGGGGACTGGAAAAGAGCTTAATTTTGGTACAAAATGGTCAGTTAACTAATAATTCCACCTTGCTTTCGTAATTTCTGTAAAATAAAAGCAACATGACATTTGAAAGATATTTGTGTTTCACTTTCAATCTTTTTCACTCACATGGAAACGCCGAGGTCACATCGATGTTGATCATTTTCTAAGTAGCCATCTTTGTCGATTATAACATCTGAAAGCTTTTGAAGTCCAAAACTCAGAAATAACATAAATCACTTGAGACTTATAAATCTCTGTAATTCAAATTGACATTTTTATTGCGCCATATTTTTGCCCCATTACGGCGTGGGCGCCAAATTAAATCATTCCAAATTGACGAGGTGAGCTATTTGCTCATTTTACGTTATCAGATGCAAGACATATCATTTTGTTTTACTTTATATGGCTTTTTGCTGATATAACCTAAAAACCAAAATGCAGAAGAAGTTGAAAATATTTTGCTTCACTCTCTGTAGCAAATAGTTTGGTTTCATGCAGAGAAATTGCAGATTTATGAACCAGGACGCCATCTTGATTGATAGATAGTACGTTGGCTTTATAGAGTTTGAAAAGATGTGATTTTGGGCTCTTTTCCACTTCCCCCCAGCTTTCAAAATATCGAGTTTTTTTATTGTTTTTGTGTTATTACGGCTAAATGCGTGAAGTTACGATGTAAAGTATGAAGAACAAATCTGTTCACAGTTGTTGATTTGTTCACCACGCCAAATTTCATTGCATTATGACAATGTTAATTATATAAGGTTTTCAAAAGTGAATTTGAAGTGGGGACTGGAAAAGAGCCTAATTTTGGTACAAAATGGTCAGTTAACTAATAATTCCACCTTGCTTTCGTAATTTCTGTAAAATAAAAGCAACATGACATTTGAACGATATTTGTGTTTCACTTTCAATCTTTTTCACTCACATGGAAACGCCGAGGTCACATCGATGTTGATCAATTTAAAACGGTAATTCAGCATTGGGTTTGAAGCATCATATTCCAGAGATATCTTGACCGTTTTAAAACCGTTTGAAGCTTGTTGGCGTCTAACCAAAACGAAGTTTGGTTTGATGTCAACAAGCTAATCTTAATCTGAACTATTTTAAAACGAATGCCTGTTACATTTTTGTCATCAGCAAACAGGAAAACTTTCGTTTTTTGGCAGCTCAGGATTAGATTATTATGTTAATTAAGGATAAAAGTGAACCTAATATAGACCCAAGAGGTAAACTTTCTTTAGTTTGAAGCATGATATTGAAATTGTTACTTCAGCTGATTGGATACATAATTAAAGACATGGCCAGTAGATTCTAAACCATACAAGCATAATCTATTAAAGATCTTTAGTTTCTTTTAGTCTGTCTGTTTATTTTTGTCGGCTTAGTACTCTTAGCTCGATAGTGCATCTTGATTCGAAGATGCTGTAACTCCCTATGCTTGAGACGACAAAGCGTGGGAGTTCTATTCCAGCTGAGACCTGTTTTTTTTTGCAATCAGAAAATATTGGCTAATTTAGATTTTTTGTCTCTGCTTAGTTCCGCAGAAAGGATTTTTTTTTTAAAACCTAGCATTCCCAAAACTCTTTGTAGAGTTTCTAATAGTGCAGGATTTTTCGTTCCGAAAACTTGGGGTTATATTGCATTTTAAATTGACAAAATGTTTTTCTGAATTTTTTTCCGTGCGATTTGCATAGTCATTCATATTTGTATCGTAAGTGGTGCGAAGCTCAGCTTCGCCTCTGTGTTAATTTTCTCTTTTGTCGCGCTAACGTTTCTTCTGCTCAAATGGTTTCGGTTTACGTAATGGTTTTCTATTTGATTCAAATATGTTGTTTAATTTACCAAAATAATCTGATTTGTGATTCGGTGTGATTTTTTCTAACTCAAAATTTCCACGCTAGTTTTTTCGGCGCAACGGTCGTGTACTCAATTATTGTGTGCTTAATTAAAGCTCGATAGCTGTTGTTTCATTACTTACTTAGCCTTCACAATTGTTGTTTTTGGCATCTTTTAACTTTTCCTCAAATTAAACCGCAATCGGGACAAACGTTAAAAAGTTTCATTCGATGATCTTTTCTTTTTTTTTTTCATTTCAATAGCTTTCGTCCTATCTGTTTTGGCTAGCCTCCGTGCTTGTCTGTATTTTGCTGCCTGTTGTTCGAAGCTTCGCTTCGCCTCTGTGTACCATTTCAATTAGAGAATTAACTTGACGTAAAAGTTTAAAACTTAAAAAGCATGAAGTATTTTAGTTTACTGCAATTTTTTGCCAAGAGGTTTACCGCTAAAACGTGATACAGTTTTGGCATGAGCAGGAAATGACGAGTGGTCGAGAAGTTTGGTACGTTTTTTTTGCGCTGGCTTTCTGATTAAATCTTTTTCGAGATTTGATTTTTATTCAATGTTAAATGAACGTTTACTTCAGGCCTTGATATGTATTGTTGTTCTAGTTTCTAGCCATTAACATTTTGCATGATATTCTTAAGTTATCTTGCTTCTTGGGCTCGTTACTTTCGCGCTCTGATTCAGCTTTTCTTATTCTCGAAAGCAATCGACTCGAAACTGTGAATTTGTTATTATGTTCTACAGCTAGAAGAAATAACTTGGTGTATAGTAACGGTGCATACAGCTAAAAAGGTTTATAATTGGTGCAG